CCAAGATCTTTCATATCAAAATAGCTACTAAGCATATTTTAGTTTTCACGATGATATGCAAAGTAGAGCCAAATATAAATAAATCATCCACATAGAGCCTAATAATGACATGTGAATTTTCTTCAGATTTATAATAGATGTATTTATCACATTCATTCGTTTTATAGTCATTCTCAATCATGCAAGAATCAAATTTCTCATGCCACTATTTAGGGGATTGTTTTAAGCCATATAGGGATTTAACTAACTTGAACACTTTGCTTTCTTGATCGGGTTCCACAAAACCCTCAGATTGATCCATATAGATTTCTTCACCTAAGTCTCCATTTAAAAATGCTGTTTTAACATCCATTTGATGAATTTTTAGATCATGAATTGCAGCCACTGCAATAAATAATCTAATGGATGTAACTTTAGTAACCGGAGAAAATGTATCAAAAAAGTCAAGATCTGCTTGTTGTTTAAAACCTTTTGCAACAAGCCTTCCTTTATATTTATCAATAGTTCCATCAGGTTTAAGTTTTTTCCTCAAAACCCATTTACAGCCAATAGTTTTATAACCTGGTGGTAAATCTACTAATACCCAAGTTTTATTGGATAATAATGATTCCATCTCATTATTTACAACCTCATTCTAAAAAACGGAGTCAGGAGATACCAAAGCTTCTTGTACCTTCGTTTGGGAAGTAGGTTGACTTTTTGACTTTTTTAGCCTGGGGCTAAAAAGCTTAGTTTAGGAAAGGCTTTTGGCTTTTTTGTGAGAGAAAGAATGTAATGATTATGGATTGGATGTGATGTTTTGTCTTGTTCGGCTAAAAAGCCTATTTTGTTTTTTGTGGCTATTTTAACCAAAAAAGCATTAAAACCAACTTCCCAAACGGAAGCTGTAAAGTTAATGGAGTTTCCTCCATATTAAAAACACAATAATCAGGGCCAAAATCTTTTTTTAATTTGGCTCTTTTACTCCTTCTAGGTTCAAAAATTACAATGTATTGATTTTGTAAAAGAGAAGTAGAAGAACCGGTTTCAGATAAAATATTTTCTTGATAATTTTGACCCCACTATTTTTAGATTTAAAATGAAATTTTTTTTCATGAAAAAATTGTATCACCTGATTCAAAAGTTATTTTGTTGTCAATATCAAAAAATCTATAGGTTGTACTATTTGTTTCATATCCAAGAAAAGCACAAATGGTAGCTTTCACACCTAATTTAGGTCTTTTAGGATCCACAAATCTAACAAAAGCTAGACAATCCCAAACTCTCAAATATCCCAAATTTGCCTTATGCCTTTTCCACAACTCAAAAGGTGTAACTTTTGTTTTTTTATGTGGCACTCTATTCATAACATAATATGCAGTTAAAATTATTTTTCCACACAATTTTTGAAGAAGCACTTGCTTCAATTCGCATAGCATTTGTTAAATCAGTTAAAGTTTTATTTTTCCTTTTTGCTACACCATTAGATGCAGGTGAATATGGTGGAGTAGTTTCATGGATTATTCCCAAAGACTGAGCAAACGAGTTGAATCCAAAAGATTCATACTCCCGGCCTCTATCACTTCTATATCTTTTAATCTTTTTACCAAATTGATTTTCAACTTCAAGAAAGAATTCTTTAAATTTTTCAAAAGTATTACTTTTATTTTTCAACAAGTATACAAAAGTGTATTTTGAAAAATCATCAATAAAAGTGATAAAATATCTATTTCCACCATGTGTTAAAATTCCTTCAAATTCACATAAATCAGTGTGAATTAATTCTAGCAATTTAGTATTTCTCACCGCACTTTTATAAGGCCTTTTAGTTATTTTTGCTTGACTGCAAACTTCACATTTCTCAAAATTATTTGTTAGTCTGGGAATTAACCCTAAACTACGCATGACTCCCACATGTTGACTATTAATATGACACAGACGAGCGTGTCAAAAATTTATAGAAGACAACATGTAAACAGAAGTATGTGCTTTCTTATTCTCAACATTTAATTTAAACATTCCATCGCATGCATATCATTTTCCCACAAAAATGCCTTTTTTTGTGATAACATATTGGTCAGATTCAATAGTCTGCAACCCTAAACTACGCATGACTCCCACATATTGACTATTAATATGACACAGACGAGCATGTCAAAAATTTATAGAAGACAACATGTAAACAGAAGCATGTGCTTTCTTATTCTCAACATTTAATTTAAACATTCCATCGCATACATATCATTTTCCCACAAAAATGCCTTTTTTTGTGATAACATATTGGTCAGATTCAATAGTCTGCTTGAAACTAGCTTTGTTGAACAAATAACTCGACACCAAATTTTTTCTTATGGACAGTGTGTACAACACATCTTTTAAAACAAGCATACGTCCAGAGGTAAATTTCATCTCAATATCCCCACACCAGAGTACCTTGGTTAAACTGGAGTCACCAAGCATAACAGTCCTCTCCTCATTAAAAAGAGTAAAATCTTTGAACCAATCTTTATCATAGCAGACATGCCTATTGGTGTGCATAATACCGCCGAAACCGCCAAAACCGCACCGAACCGCACCGCCAAGGCAAATTCGTTATTATTTGCCAATCGAACCGCCGGTTTTTGGTAAGAAAAATGGCAAATTCTAGTCAAGTTCGAGCAATATGCCCACTTTTGCCACACACAAAACATGTCACATTTGTCAAATCTTGTGAAGGGGGTTCTTGGTTCCATTTCTTTTGCCTCAGGTAATTTTTATTTTGTGGCCTTCCAGTATTTTTTTCAGATTTTCTTAACTGGCTTAAAGTGACTATTTTTATGAAATCGACCTTTAGGTAAAGTATTTCTAGAAGTTAAATTTACCTTTGTAGTGGAATGCTTTTATGTCATAAGCGCGTCTTGTCCTTGTGCTTTCTCCTCTACCTGAATCTGTGTGATTAGAGTCTCCAAGGACATCTCTTTTTACTCGTGACGCATTGACTTCTGAAACTCCCTCCAAGTTGATGGTAGTTTGTCAATAATACCTGTCACAACAAGATTGTCTCCAATTTTGATGCCTTTGGATCTAACTTCAGCCACTAGCATATAAAAATCTGGAACTTGTTCCACCACTGATTTTCCATCTATCATCTGATAGCGGAAAAAACGGCTTGCACCGTATTTTTTAGCGTCTACCTCTTCAGTGTCATATTTATTCTGTAAGACTTTTCCAAATTTTCTTGATAATCATAAAACTGATCCAAAAGACAATTCAAAAGATAATACCGACATTTATACTCATATGTGTTGTATTTCTCGATTTTTTCAAGATGAGCGGCATACTCCTCGTCGGTCATCTCTTTAGTGGGGACTTTGTTCGGATTTTTCTTGGTCAGAATATAAGCCACCTTGAGGAGACTGGGGTAGAAAATCACTTTGCCTTTCCATCTCTTGAAATGGGTTCCCTTGAACCGGAAGGACTTGTTGAGATCGCCGATATTCATGTTGGGCTTCTCCAATACTGGCTACATGAATTTTATTGTTTAAATCTCCTTAAAATTGTTGGTAATAATTACAAATAAAACACCAAAAAATACAAATAATAAAAATTACAATAACAACTGTAAGAGCTGAGGCGCAGGAAATTCGCTATCTTTAAGGAGATTCAAGCTCTCTACGGTTAGGCATAGCCTCACACCGATGCAGCAGAAAAAACCTTGACTTGTCCCCCCAGGATACAATAGCCCGACTAAGTCGTATGGTTCACCAATACTGCACAATTGATTGAACCTAAAGTTTCATCACATACACCCTTTTTTAGTTGCCTGATAATCTCACACAAACATAATAAAACAACAAACACTCCTTCTATATTCCAAGATAAGAAGTTAGCTCAATTCATAGGAGAAGAAAACTTGGTGGGGAAGTTGGAGGATTCTTGTAGGAAAAAGTGGAAAAGTATAGGAAGTTGTTTAGAGGATTCTTGGAGGAAAAGTATAGGAAATTGCTTGGAGGATTCTTGGTCACCAAGAAAAATGATTAACTTAAAGGAAAAGAAAAGAAAACTTGGAGAGAAAGAAAAGACATCAAATCTATGACACATTATAATATTAAAATATCTGCTAACATATATATATATATATATATATGTATATTTTGAGATAGACTCTTTTTTGTGGGGTTAGCAACCAAAGCAGGGGAAAAAAATTTATTTGACAACCTCACTCTCAAATTGTCACATAATAATCTACTAAATTATTGTCTTACAACACTTGCACCTTCAGGTTTGCCTTCATGTTCCTCATCTATATGCTTCTCCATCCCACGTTTGCAATCGACGACCTCCCATTTCTTTGTGATGACCACTTCTGGTTTCTCAATCCACCACTTGATCTCCTCTATTAGTCTTCCGATTTGGATTTACAACCTCTTTGCTCTTACAATTATGCATATCCACCGTAAATTTTTATTTTTATTTTTGGTTCAACAGGAGTTAGTGAACTTGGGGTTAGGATGGTTTTTTTGAGAATAGTTTGGGTTTGAAAGTATGAACTATCTGTTCAAAAAAAAAAAAAAAAAAAGAATGTATGAACTAAAGTAAATTTTTAAAATTTTCTTTTTTAAGAATCAAAGTAAGAAACTTTAATTTTTAAAATTCTTGAATTGTCCCTTAACCACTTTAAGGATAAAAGTGAACAATTTTTTTTCCTGTAAAGACCAAAATAAGAAACATTCCGTATTTTGTTGTGTGTAATTTTTATACAAATGTTAAAACTACCTCAATTGAGAAGCAAGCAAAAATGTAAAGATTTGATGAGGGCAAATTAGCAAAAGTGTGAAGGGTTTTATTGTAACTTTGTCTCATAAAGAAAAAATATATTTATACATAATGAAGACAAAAGATAGAGCATTTTATTATTATTATTTTTTTTGGGGTGAAAAAGAGAGTGCTAGTAGATGTAGCACCACCCTTCTAAAATTACATCTCAAACTTACACCATGAAAAACCATTCTATGCAGATAATAAAATGGCAGATCAATAGGTAGTGCTATAATAAATCAAAATATAATTTATACCATATAGAGGAAGAAATCCAAGGACAACCAAAATCTCAAATATTCAGACTCAATATCAAGCCAAAAAAAAACCAGTAAAAATGGTAAGTAAATAAATACACAAATTAACATGGAAGCAATAAGAAATAATGACCCCTAAAATGCCAAAACTGACAGTTTCCATTCTCATGGTTATTTTTTCTGCAACGACTCCACTGCCTAGTTCGCAGCCATAGGAAGGAAGAAGATGCAAGCCCAGAAACCACAATCAAAAGCGATCACAAATTTGAGTAGAAAGACCTACAGTCCCTGATCAATGAGGTAATCTCCCATTCTCTCAACAACCATGTTACACTGTCCGGGAGTCACTGGCTCATCGTAGATACCAAAGATCAGGGCTTGGCCGGTTTTCTTTATGGTGACACCACCAGCGCCCTGCAAAGTAGACAACAAAACAATGGCACATGATTGCAGGGACAATTTTGTGAATCAACACGAACATGAAAAATTAATATACTTCTTCCGTCTCAAAATATTAGTCAATTTTTAAAAATCAAGGAATAAATGCATTTATTATTTTGCCCTTCTTTTAAATTCATTAATAACACAAAAAGTACAATTATGATAATTGATATTCCCAAAAAAATGTAACATCAAAGGATAGTTTTAGAAAATTAATATTTTTAAAATATAATAATTGTACTATCAAAAAAAATTAGATTCTCCAAAAGAGACTATTATTTTGGGAAGGAGGCAGCAATCAATATTGAACGTTGACCGCTCAACTGGATCAATCATCCTACAATCTAAACTTTAAAGGCATGCTTCCGCTAGCTATGAAGCACAGATACTTCAAAAAGGGAGCCGTATCCGCATCGGATACTTATTGGATATCGATACTTATTAGATACCGATACTTCTTGGATATTCGCGAATATGTATCGGATACTACTTAATTAATTTTTTATTACTTTTCGAGTATCGGATTCTTAATTTTGAAGTATCGGATACCCGAGGCACATATTACTTCTAATACTTTATTTAGCTCTTTGACAAGAGGAATATAATGAGGGTTAATAGGATTTGTCAAATTGATGTATCCTTTTTGTCTCTCTTGCTCTCTCACTCTCTCCTCTCGTTCTGTTTTTTGGTGTTGGCATGTAAGGATGATATTTAATTTGTATTTGCATTTGCTTTTGCTTTTGCTTTTAGTTTAGGATGTTTTATGAATGTTTGAACACTCTCAGCTTAATAGGAATCCCTCTCTTTATTTATTAATTTACTTTAAATTTTATTTTCATGCATATTACATTATTCAAATTATAAAAAAAATATTTTTTTTTACGAACGTATTCCTGCCGTACCCATATTCTACCTTTTCAGATTTTGGCATATCACCATAACTATATCTCCGTATCCGTACTTCCTAGTCAGCTAGTAAGGGAAAAATCCCATTTCCAGGTACCCAAACAAAAAGATATCTACGTAATGCAGGGAATTCAACTCTTCAATCATTCAAGGTTGTATAATGCTTTTTCTTAAATATTCTCAACAGGGGTGTCACTAAGACAACAAAGTTGGATTGCAAAATCGAGCTAGATGAAGAATTTAATTTGGATGTGGCTTGGGTTATAATTCGTACTACTTACTCCTGCCACTTCAGATGAAGAGTCTAATGTCATTGACGCACAAATGAAAAAGGCAGCCAGGCTTTCTTCGGTGCTGCGTGTACTTTTCATGATGAATAGGAGGTAAAGAAGGGAGACAACCAGTAAAGTCACCTTAACTATAACATTATGAAAGAGCAAAAGCAAAAGAAATCAAACCCATGTGTATGCGTACTATCAAACAAACATTATTAAGGTCTGTTGGAGGTGGGTCTTCATGTGAGCACTCATTAAGGTTTGTTATTATTCTTCCTCCACACATCCCCAGGTATTATGTCCATAACACACTGGACAAGAAAACAAATTGTCTTGACAGGATTGAAATATGAATCCGAGAAATACGCTCCACAGCTGAATCTTTAGTCAAAAAGTGAATTGATCATAGAACTACACAAAAGACACTTGGCTACTATCTATTGTGCTGCTTTTGAAAAGTCATTTGATGCTTCAAAGTGAAGGAAAATTCTGATGTGATCACCACTTTATTTAGCACAAAGCAAACCAGCTAGCAATGATGCATGAATGTAGTGATGGGGAAGCATGAAGAACTACTATTAAAAAAGAGAAGAAACCAATTCAAATGAGAAGAGGCAAAATTCAAAAGTAAAACATGAAAACTGAATAAATTAACAAATATACAAAGCCCAAACTGCAGAGAGAAAATGTTATCCACATCAAGAAATTAATGAGGAATAGAGAACTAATGGTAGAATGCAATGCAAAAATTAGATCAAAATTATTGTAAAGCTAAAACATGCTAAAGACAAATTGATAACTTTCAAATTAAGAAAAACGAAAGTGTGATTCTTATGAAATCATGACGATCACCTGCCCCCAAACACAAAAGAAAAAAGAAAAAAAGAAAAAAATAGGGGATAACAAAAAAAAAGTAAGTATCATGAAATCATGAAGGGAGCTGATCAAGAAAGAAATGAAATGAAATACCTTCTTTCCTCGGATCACAGCTCCAGCCTCGCCTTGGATAACCATGTACTTTGTGCCACCAAGGTACAGTCCAGTAGGAGCAAGAAAGCCAGGTTCATCAAAATCTTTCATGATACCAGTTATCTCTTCAGGTTTAAACTGGAAATAAACATGCAAATGCACTTCTCATTTAAATGATCATGACACCAACACACACACACACACACACACACAAAAAAAAAAAAAAAAAAAAACCACGAGTAGAAATCAAATCTAACAAGAATTAAAATGTGCACAAAAACACGAAAGGTAAGATTCTATGAGGCGTATTTTATTATTGAATCCCTTTAAAAATAAAAGCCCCGCGAGAAGCAAAGCAAAAAAGATTTTAATATTCAGTATTTTTAAAGGTACTGTAAACAATGCGATGAAAATAAAAATGGTTAGAGCATCAATGGTAGGTGTCCAAACGGCAATGCCAGAGCCAATTTGGGATGCTACAATGCTAAAATGGCAATATTATTCCAATGGTGCAAATTCAATTTCTGCAGCTTTTTTCTCAAAAAGTTAAATAAAAATGCCCTTTGTGGGCTATATTACAAGAGAGATCAAGACAATTATTTTTATTTTTGTCAATCGATAGGAGAATAATTACAACTATGAGAAATATTATATTATCAACCAGAATAGGTAGAAAGTCAACAAAACCTACTAAGCCCAAGCCCAAGCCCACCCAACAAACTACTACAACCCCCTTATTAGGAGAAATAAACACCACCAAATGTCATGGTTGAGATCAAGACAATTAACTCTTGCCAAATTCCGATATTTTCCCAAAATTCAGCATTGCTATAATTCCGCAAGGAAGATAAGCACGACATTGGATATCAATTTGGAGGAATTGTTGTCAAATTTTAGCTTTGGTTTGAAGGATACCACACAATTGAAGTTTCACTCACCTAATTGAATCCCGATTAACATTGCTCATTACTACTCCATTTACAATCTCAAAACGATTTCCCACAGGTCAAATAACATGCATTCGATCTAAGAATATGGAAAAAGTGTAAATGAAGAAGGGAAAAAAAAAGAAAAAAAGAAAAAAGAAAGAAAGATCCATTCGATCTAAGATCTTCCACAGGTTGGCATTATATTCATGATCTTCAATCAAAATACCATTTACATCAAGGAAATCTCAAAGCAGAATAGTTTATTCAAAATGCTACACATACGGATCTAATCAAATTCCAACAAATTCACATACGCAATCACCAAAGCACGAATCAAAATAGATAATTTCCATTTTCACGAACAGATCGATCGAGAGAACCAATTGAAACCAATAAATTTATAGAAAAAAAAGAAAAAAACCCAGATCGAAAGAGAGAACCTTGGGGAAGGAAGAGCTCTGAGCCCAGATGCTACCATCATGACCGAGGATTGAAGCCGCGGTGAGGTGGTTTCCCTCGATGTCGCACATCAGATGATCATCAACGTATGTTTGCCACGACATTTTCGAAATCTTCTTCTTCGTTCCTCTCACTCTCCTTCGACCTTTCTCTGTGTGGGGTTGTTTGCGTTGGTTTTTTTGCAATGGGTGTGTACTGGTTCAAGGAAGAAATAAATACTTGTATGGAAAGTCGGGGTACTCGCGGTGTTGATTGGCTTTTCATTTATTGTTGACCTTTTTTTAAAACGGTTGGGAATTTGGGAAGGAATTTAAAAATGATAAAAATATATATATATATATATATATATAAAAATAAATAAAATATATGTATGTTTTTTTTTTTATTTTTATTTTTATTTTTTTTTTTGTTGAGGAATTTTTTTTTGAATCTCTTCTCAAATTACACAATTAAACACAGCACGAGATAATTGAAAAAAAATGAATAATGATATATATATTAATTGGTATATCAATTAGTATATTAATAGATGATATAACAGTATTTTAAAAGTTGTGAATATTTATAATTTGTATAATGGGTTAAGTTAATAATAATATTATAACATATGTTAGTATACTAATTAATATACTAATTGGTACATGTAGTACCACCGAAAAAAAATAATGAAACATTATTGAGCCTCCGTTTGGGAAGTGGGTTGGCTTTTTGACTTTTTGGTTTTTTTGGCTATTTTAGCCTGGGCTAAAAAGCTTGGTTTGGGAAGGGTTTTTTGGCTTTTTGGCTTTTTTGACTTTTTTTGTGAGAGAAGAATGTAATGATTATAGGTTGGATGTGATGTTTTGTTTGTTATGGCTAAAATAGCCTATTTTGTTTTTTGTGACTAAAATAGCCAAAAAAGCCTGAAAAAGTCCTTGCCAAACACATGCTGATTCATTCAATTAGGCCTCATTGAATTATTCGACTTACCTAAGTTGGACAATCGAAATTACCAATTATCATTTGTGATTGTCACGACTAGTGTGTTAACCGACATTTGCTCAAATAACTGACTGAATAATTGGCTAGACGACTAACATATATAAATTCGAACAATTCAGACGAGTTTAAATTCAATGAATGAAGCATGATGCAATGATGAAAAATAAATATTGAGGAGACCGTATAAATTGGTAGTGAATTGTGATGTATTTGACCATTTGAGATTTACTATTTTATGTCTTATTTGGATTCAAAATTTTTAATTCTTTTTTAAAAAAAAATAAAATAAAAATAGAGACCAAATAACAATAATTATTAATCATTACAAAATTTGGATTTACTACAGACCTTCAAAAAACATAACCCTCATAATCCTCACTTACCTGTGATTGGTCTAAGAAGAAAAGAAAAAAAATTTAAAAAAAAAAAAACATAATTGGTCCATATCATTTTGGGGTCACGAGGGTTTCTAAGTTTGAGGGTTCTAAGCATTTTTGTACAAAATTATAATTGTTATTCAAAATATAAAGTACGACATCATTTTTTTTTAAATACTAACAAAAAAAAATTAATAACGTTTTTAAATAAATAAAAGATATAATTGTCAAAGGCATATTTTGGGGGATGAGTTCTTCTCCATAGCTCATATTTTTATACCTTTTTATACTTTTCTGGTAAGTTTTAATCGGGACTAGCATTGATGATCTGAATTGTCTATTTCGTAAGTCTTGCAATGAAAGTTTTTCATTCAGAAAATTAGTTTTATCGAATAATTATAAACATGAGAACAAATTATATTTCGTTTTACAAAATAGATGGCTTAAATTTAAGAGGAACTGACCTAAAGGTCCAAGCCCAATATATCACATCCCATTTAGACCCAAAACAAATTCAATACTCCATTAAGTCCTCAAATTAGCAATCAGATGAAAATACCCTCACATATCATCCAATTTACATGTGTGCAACCTCCACCCACGATTATCTCACACCAGTCTGACTAGACACTGTCATATCTCCGTTGCTCGACTCTATATTCTCAGTCCTCCATCTCTTAACCGTTCGACTCCACTACCTTTGAAACCCTAATCTAACCACAAAACGAAGTCATTCATCTTGTCCAATCATCGACTCACAACAACATAACACGAAGTCGTTCATCTTCTCCAATCGGCGACTCTCAACAACACGAAGAACCATCACGACTCTGAAGAAATTTCATAGTTACTGACTTCCGATTCACAAAAATGAGAAGAAAAAAAAAAATCTCTCTTCGCCTTTTATTTTTCATTCAAATTTGTACATTATTCTTTGATATTCTGTATATATCATACCGTTTCAATAACACTTTCATAAAAAAAACCCTTGTATAAATACATTTTACATACTTCAAAATGTATAAACCCTATTTTACATATTTTACTTACAATTCTATATCTCTTTTTCGTTTTATTCTTGCTTAGATTATTAATCCCATGTTTTTACACATTCTAGTTATATTTAATCCCTTGTTTTTACACATAATCCCTGTTTTTACACATTCAACTTCTTGTTCTTATTTTTATTGTTGTTGCTTCTTCTTCTTGTTAAATATTGGCTTTGTTTCTTCTTATTGTTGCTATATTTCGTTGAATACTTCATCTTCTTGTTGTCATTGTTGTTATTTACAAAATACAATGGACTGTTCTTATTGTTGCTAGTGTTTATAAAACTAAAACATCACAGTTTCATCACTCTACAAATAAATATCTAAATTTATTCAAATTGCAAATGAAACAGCAAAATTACACAGTTTAATCACTATTCAAAACAAATAGGTAAACTTATTATAAAGTGCAAATCAAACTGCAAAATTATACAGTTTTGTAACTATTAACAACAAATAGATATGACTTAATATTAAACTGCATATAACACGGCAAAATTATACAATTTTTGTAACTATTAACAACAAATAGATATAACTTAATATTAAACTGCATATAAAATTGTAAAATTATACAGTTTTGTCACTATTACTCATGCCTTGCTGTTGCTTTCATTTTTTCAGGAATAACTGTTGGAAGATATTGGAAGAAGCAAACCAATATACTCAAAAATCCAATCAGGCATTTAAGTGTCTCCCATTTTGACACTTCTTCACCTATATCCACTGACATGCCACCATCTCCTCCTCTACAAAAAACCCAGTCACCACAAAAAAAAAAAAAAAAAACCTACAAAAAAATCACACTACCTACAAGAAAAAGCCTAAGAACTACACTACAGACCACACCTACACAACAAACACCAACCACACCTCCAACCACAAAAAAAAAATAAAAAATAAAAAATAAACAAACAAAAGAAAGCTAACAAAAAAACAAGAAGCTCCTCCAACAAAAAAAAAAAAATCTCCAAGAAAGTCAATCAAGTCCTGAAACACAAATCAAGGCATCAAAAGGGAAAAAAGGAGCAATCACCGCAAAGAGAGTCTAACAGTTTAATTATTGTTTCAACATCAGAACGGTAATCAAACTATTCAAGGGGGTCAAATTCACAACAACCCAAAAGACAGAGTTGCAAAAAACTCCTTTTTGGGCCATTATAAATGCTCTCTCCTCAACACAACTGAAGGTCTCTTCGTATAGTCCCTGCACACCTTTCTCCGCCAAGCAAACCATCAGTGGTGCCCAAGTCTTAAGGGCGGTCAAAAATGGGGTGTCTACAGATGCCAAGTTATTGACCAAAATGTTTTAAGAAACAAAAAAGGGAAAATCAACAATGACCGTCAAAATCTTACAAGGGTCATCACCCTTTACTTGTGCCTGAAACTTCCCATGCCTACAACAGAACATACACTCAATTGTAGTTTTCTCAACTATGTTGACAATCTCAACAACATCAAGAAGTACAATTGAATTGAGGCGATAAAAGACACACTGATAAATTTAATGGCAAATGCAAACAACAACCCAAGACATGTTACTGGATGCGTCATGTTACTCTTGGAAAACACACTACTAAACTACTTCACACAAAAATATCAAAACATCCAACTATCTCAGACTACCTAACATATTTCAAATTTTTTTATAGTATTGGTACTGCAAGCACAGTAAACTCCTCCGACCATCTAACAAAGAAGGCTTTCCAAGGTTTATGAAATAGAACCTTGGCAAAATGTACTCCAAGTGGAAACACATCAACCTTGCTGACTTTGAAAAAGTATTCCAACTCTTCTATACTCTCAAAGTACAAATCTATTCAACACTTCTTTCACAGTCCTATTTAACACAAACCACAAACTTTTGCAGTTTCAAAGCACAAACCTATTTAACACTCCTCTCACTCATGCTATGAAACTGCAAAAGTTTGCAGTTTCAACGCATACATCTATTCAACACTCCTTTCACATTCATTACAGTAACAATCATATTATGAAACTGTAAAAGTTTGCAGTTTCAAAGCACAAGTTTATAGAAGACTTGTTCCACAGTAATTACAGTAACAATAATGTTATGAAACTGTAAAATTTTGCAGTTTCAAAGAAAAAATCTATTTAACACTCTTTTAACATTGATCATAGTAACATTATGTTATGAAACTGTAAAAATTTGCAGTTTCAAACAACATATTTTTAACACTTCACTCACATTACTCATAGTACAAATCATGTTATGAAACTGACCAATTTTCCAGTATTACTGATATATGCCACATTGTTCCAATGTAGATTGACCGAAGTGCTTTAACCTCAACTGAACAAGAAATATAATTATTACATATCAATCAAAGCATGTCAACAGATTCTTCAGCAAAGAAACATGACCACAAAAAGGACAATAAGCGGAAAAAAATACCAAAGCAACAAAAAAGAAACTTCTAGACAGTGATGAGGAAGACTTCCTTGAAGAAGAACACCAATCAAAATCAGAATAAGAACAATAACAAAAAACAAAGAAAAGAAAGCAAGAACTACAAAAGCAACAAATTGAAGAAGGAGAAAGTGATGAATAAGAAGAAGAGAGTGATGAAGAAAAAGAAGAGACTGATGAAGAAGAAGAAGAACAAGAAGAAGGTAATGAACAAGAAGACACTGATGAAGAAGAAGGCTAACAAGAAGAAAAAAAAGAACAAATAGACCAACAAGAAGAAGTCAATGAACAAGAACTAACAGACCAACAACAATAACAACTTGAAGAAAAAGAACAAGCAAACTAACAAGAAGAAAAAGGGACCAAACAACAA